GCAAAATTGCCAGCTTGAAAATTAGCCTGCTACAGATTTATTGAATTTTGAGTCCCCACTGTGGTTGCTTTAGCAGGGCCAGACCAAGTGATTTCACAGGCCACATATGGCCTGTGGGCCAGATGTTTCCCACCTCTGTTTTAGGGCAATAAAATGTCACAGGCTTATCTTCTACCTTCTCTTTTTCTACTTAGGAATAAGTCATTTCTCCAATGAGCTTTGAATATTTTTGTAAGCCCTTAGAATTCAGTCTGAAGGTCATTGGTAGCCACTGAAATACTATAATTCTACAGTGCCATGATCCAATTCATATTTTTAAAAGACCACTCTGTGAGTTGAGCATTTGGTGTAGTGGTTAAGATGCCACTTGGGATGCCTACATCCTATAATTGAGTACCTGGGTTTGGGTTCTGGCTCCACTTCCAATTCCAGCTTCCTGGTAATGCATACCCTGGGAGGCAGCAGTGATGGCTCAGTTGGTTGCATCTCTGCCAATCATAAAGGATACCTGGATTGAGTTCTAGGCTCCTGACTTCAGCCTGGCCCGGCCCTGGCTATTGCAAGCATTTGGAGGAGTGAACTAACTTTGTCTCTTTCCAAAAAAAGACCACTTGTTAGTATTGTGCAGAAAAAGTTCTGGTGTTGGTGTGAAACTAGCAGTAGAGAGAACAATTATAGTGATTTAGACAAGCTATAATTAAGGCTCAGAAACACTGTCAGTGAAGTGACTTCACAGCAGAGAAGCCTGACAAACACTAACCTCAGCAGTGATGTCCTACTGGTAGTTTGTACTTTACATATGACTAATGAGAATGGCACTTGCTGCTGTGGTCTTTTTCCTCCCAAAGATCTGTAATCCTGGTATAATGTTGAGGAAAACATGAGGCCAAAAAAAAAAAAAAAAAGGGCCTTTATTAGAGGGGCAGTCCATAAAATACCTAACCAGTACTCCTTAAAATTGTCAGGGTCATTATAAAGTCTGAGAAACTGTCACAGCAGAAAGGAACCTAAGGAGACATGACTACTAAAGTTATTTATGTTATCCTGGAGTAGTAGAAGGACAGTAGGAAGAAAACATATATTAACATGTCTCATTAATTGTAATAATGTACCATACTATTGTAACATGTTAGTAATAGGGGAAACTGGGACAGAGTAGATGGAAACTTTGTACTGCCTTCACAATCTTTTTGTAAATCTGAAACTATTCCCCTAAAAAAGTTTGTTAAAAAGCAGGGTCAGTGAACGTGAAGTAGTAATAATGGATTTCAGAGCCCTATGTTTCGGAGGTTGAATTGAACACAGAGGCAAGCATTAAGTGATGACTCCTAACATTTTTAGGTGTATGCATGAGTAATGATGACATTTTCACATAATACATAATGGTAACTACTTCAAAGTAGTCATTTTTGAAGGCCATAAGCTTATTTAGCAGTACAGTGATTGTTCAAAATGTTTTTTGGCTCTTTAGATATCTTTTATAAATTCTTGTGGATGTCTTCTACTCTTTTTTTTTTTTTTTTTTTTTGACAGGCAGAGTGGACAGTGAGAGAGAGAGACAGAGAGAAAGGTCTTCCTTTGCCGTTGGTTCACCCTCCAATGGCCGCCGCGGCCGGTGCGCTGCGGCCGGTGCACCGCGCTGATCCGATGGCAGGAGCCAGGAGCCAGGTGCTTTTCCTGGTCTCCCATGGGGTGCAGGGCCCAAGCACCTGGGCCATCCTCCACTGCACTCCCTGGCCACAGCAGAGAGCTGGCCTGGAAGAGGGGCAACCGGGACAGAATCCGGCGCCCCGACCGGGACTAGAACCTGGTGTGCCGGCGCCGCGAGGCGGAGGATTAGCCTAGTGAGCCGTGGCGCCGGCCGTCTTCTACTCTTTTTAAGATATATATTACAGGGGCTGATGTTGTGGCCTAGTGGACTGCCATCTGTATCATTGGCATCCCATTATAGGAGCCTGTTCAAGTCCCAGCTGCTCCACTTGGATGCAGCTCTCCGACAATGTGCCTGAGAAAGTAGCAGAAGATGGCTCAAGTGTTTGGGTCTCTGAATCCATGTGGGAGACCTGGAAGAAGCTCCTGGCTTCAGCCTGGCTCTGCCCTGGCTGTTGCGACCATGTGGGGAGTGAATCAAAATGTAGAAGATGTGTTTCTCTCTGTTGGGGGGTGTGTGTGTGTGTGTGTGTGTGTGTGTGTGTTCTCTTCTGTTTCTGCAACTCTGCCTTTCAAATAAATAAATCTTTAAAAATTATTTTTTAAAGTTATACATTAGTGAGAGAGGGATAGTAGTATAGTAGTCAGTGGTGTATTAGGCTGAGTTTCTCAACATTTTCTGAACCCCAAAATGGGTATAACAACCTCTATTAAGAAGTTGTGAGTTATGCATATAGTAAATAGGTTTTTGTCCTTTGAGGAAGAATTTAAGTTTTAAATGCTGCTGAAAGTTACTTGGGACTTCACCTGGTTAATATTTGAAATAAACCTGGCTGAAAGCAAGATTTAAAAGACAATTGGTGGGGATAATTTTTATGTGTCCTATATATTTTTAAAGATTTATTTATTTATTTGAAAGTCAGAGTTAACACACAGAGAAGGAAAGGCAGAGATAGAGAGAGAGAGAGATAGGGAGAGAGAGAGAGAGTGAGAGAGAGGGAGGGAGGGAGAGAGGGAGATATCTTCCATCTGCTGGTTGACTCCCCAATTGGCCACAATGGCTGGAGCTGCGCCTATCTGAAGCCAGGAGCAAGAGCTTCTTCTAGGTCACCTACACAGGTTCAGGGGCCCAAGCATTTGGGCCATCTTCTACTGCTTTCCCAAGCCATAGCAGAAAGCTGGATCAGAAGTAGAGCAGCCGGGACTCAGAACAGGCACCCATATAGGATACTGGCACTGCAGGTGGTGACTTCACCCACTATGCCATAGCTCCGGCCCCATCCAATACATTTTCTTTTCTAAATATTTATTTCTTTATTTGAAAGTCAGAGTTACACAGAGAGAAAGAGAGGCAGAGATAGAGATAGAGAGAGAGAGAGAGAGAGAGAGAGAGAGGTCTTCCATCCGCTGGTTCACTCCCCAGATGGCTGCAACGGCCGGAGCTGTGCTGATCTGAAGCTAGGAGCTTCTTCTGGGTCTCCCGTGCCGGTGCAGGGGCCCAAAGACTTGGGCCATCTTCTACTGCTTTCCCAGGCTATAGCAGAGAGCAGGATCAGATGTGGAGCAGCTAGGTCTCGAACCAGCACCCACATAGGATGCCGGCACTTCAGGCCAGGGCCTTAACCTGCTGTGCCACAGCCCCGGCCCTGTCCAGTGCATTTTTTGAAGACAATTTTAAACTTAACTGTAGAGTTGCAGCAATAATATATTGCGTTTTTGTTATGTGTTACTCCCTTCTAATCAGTAACATTTCTTCCATCTTTCCTATCTTTCATAACATTGATAATTCTAAAAGGAGTTTGTCAGTTATTTTGTAGAGTTATTTTGTAGGACGTCCTTCAACTTGGGTTCATTTGATGCTTTCTTGTAATTAGATTGAGGGTGTGCATTGTTGCCCAGAGTCCTCAGAGGTGATGCGTCCTTCTTGGTACATTGTAATGGGAGTGTATGATGTCACTGTGTGTTACTGATAATGGTCACTTTGATCAGTTAGCTTAAGTGCTCTCTGCCAGGATTCTATGCTTTAAATTTACTATTTTTCCTTAGTACTCACTAAATATTTTTGGAATGATAATTTGAGACTATTTTTAAAACTTTGATGCATTAATTCTTAGCATCGTCTGCTGATTCTTGTCTTTCTAATAGTTTTTATATTTGCTTTACTCTTTCTACATTTCTTAAGTGGGATTCTTCTGTAAGGAATAACTGTCTCTTTTCTTTCATCAAAAAAATTTTAAAAGATTTTTACTTATTTGAGAGGTGGAGTTACAGACAATGAGAGGGAGAGACAGAAGAAAGGTCTTCCATCTGCTGGTTCACTCCCCAAATGGCCACAGCGGCCAGAGCCGGGCCAATCTGAAGCCAGGAGCCAGGAGCTTCTTCTGGGTCTCCTATGAGGTTGCAGGGGCCCAATGGCTTGGGCCATCTTCTACTGCTTTCCCAGGCCATAGCAGAGAGCTGGATTTGAAGAGGAGCAACCGGAACTACAACTGGCGCCCATATGGGATGCCAGCACTGCAGGCAGAGGATTAACCTACTGTGCCACAGTGCCAGCCCCCATGAAAATTTTTTAAAATCAATGTTAGTACCAGGATTTATTGGTTAAGAGTTAGTTGAAGTATACAGGTATTTTAATTTTGAGGGAAAGGATAACTATTTTTTGCAGTTCTAAGATGAATAGATTCTATAAACTTAGTTCTGTATGTGGTGCTTTATATATTTCACTTTCTAAAGTATACTTTATAAAAAAAATAGAGAGGCATTTGTTTATTTATTTGTTTGTTTTTTAATGAACATAAATTTCCAAATTACAGCTTATGGATTACAATAGCTCCTCCCACCCATATATTTATTTATTTGAAAGGCATGGTGGGGGAAAGAGGGAGAGACTGACAGAGATCTTCCATCTGGTAGTCCACTCTCCGAATGGCAACAACAATTAGATCTGGGCCAGGCCAAAGCCAGGAGCCAGAAACTCTGTCTGGGTTTCCCATGTGGATGGCAGGGACCCAAGTGCTTGGGCTATCAATCACTCCTTTACCGGAAACTGGATTGGGAGGGAGCAGCTGGGACTTAAACTGGCACTCCTAGAACAGGGTGCTGGCATTGCCCGCAGCAACTTAACTCACTACTCTATGATTGCTGGCCCCTATACTTTGCTTTTATAGGGCTCTTATTTTTTGTAATTTATGAAGTGTTATTTTGTAAGAATCTGTGTAACTATTCAGATAAATATCTCAAGTTATAAGCTGGGAAGAATTGAAATTATGTTATTGATATATGTATGTATTATAATTTAATAACAGTTTATGAGTGGAAGCATACCTTTACTTCTTTTTTCTTTTTCTTAGGCTTGAAAAGGAATACACTACAATAAAAACTAAAGAAATGGAAGAACAAGTTGAAATTAAAGTAAGCACTTCAGGACTTTTTAAAGTTCCAGAGATAAATTAATTAAAGTCAGTAATTTGGCAATAAATGTTAGGTTATATGGATATATTGTTACCATCTGTAGTGAATTTAGCAATGAAGATTATATTTATTATATGCATTGATAAATTTATTTATCATTCTACTAGATTGTAGTTAAAAATAGATATTTCAAAAGACACAATGATGTAACCGAAGTGACTTTCCTCTCATGTGAAAGAGAGCAACTCTTCTTTGTTCTTGGATTTGTTGGTGAGTCAGCAGTAGAAAATAGTCCATGGGGAAGATAATTATTCCATTTAGGCATTTTTTTAAAAAGTGGCAGAGACTATCATCTGTAGCATAGTCTGTGCTGAAATGAACAGTGGAATGCATAGTCAGAGACAGACTAAATAGAGAAAACCATAACACTGGAACTGATTATGGCTGCCTTGGAGCTGCAGGAAGCTTTGACTAATTTAATGTTTTCTCCTTAAACAAATATTATACTTTCGAACTGCTTGTCTCCATAGAAACAGGTAGTTTTTCAATTTGAAGGATATATAAATACATTATATGTACTTTAAAACTTTTTGTATTCCCCGTAAGCCACGGGATTCTTAAATTGGAGGGCCTGTGGCACTGCTGGAGCAGGGACTCAGGAAGAATTGTGTTGACTGCTCTTGTGCTGCTCATGATGAATGGGATTGTGAGCCAAGGAGCTCAGTGACATGCTGATCCAGTTTCCTGTCTCTCTAGTTCTACCTTCCCTCAAAGGAAAAGGTCAATGTAAAACAATTTTTGTTGTGTGACTTCCTCCCCCATTTTTAAGCTTTTTGTTTGTGTGTGTCTGAATTTTGGCTTGGACCTTGTAAGACATCAGGCGATCACTTTATTTACAGTTAGCTGTGTATTAATGGAGTTTTACACTACATAGGTTCCTTTTACAAAACAATGGTTTCTGTTACACTAGTACTCCTTGCTTTGGTTCTCCTTAGAAGCCTCCTGGGAGACAGTCTCTCCCATTTTCCTTTGTGAATTGCGTCTTGTTAACTCTGTCCCTTTTCTGGATGTTTTACTCACATTTTTATCATCTGTTCCATTCCCTGTCAGTTGGAAATATGACAGTGCTTCAGAATAGTTAATGCAAAATTGAATTAAAAGATAAATTTGTTTTGGTATAAAGTTTTGAAATCATGTATATTTTTTTCATAGTAGGCATTTATCTGGTGAACTTCTTTTTTTTTTTTTTTAAGATTTATTTATTTAAAACAGAGAATGGGAGAGATAGAAAGAGATAGTTCAGCTGCTGATTCACTCCCCAAATAGTGGCGGTGGCTGGGACTGGGCCAGACCAAAGCCAGGAGCCTAGATCTCCATCAAGGTCTCCCACATGGGTGGCAGGGGCCCAAGCATTTGGGTCTTCCCAGGTGCTGTAGCAGGGAGCTTCATTGGAAGTGGAGCAGCTGGGACTTGATTTAGTGCCCCAATATGGTATGCTGGCAGATTAACTACTGTGCCACAACACTGGCCCCATCCATGAACCTTGAAGACCACTCATACATATTTCTACATTTTTCAAAGAGAAGAACCCCGTGGATGTTTTTCCCTCCCGTTTTAAAATTCTGTCACCCACCTGCTGCTCTACCATTTGCTTTTCTTTTAGGTACCATGAGTAATGTTAATATTAAATCATATCCTGCACTTCAGCCTACTGAAAGTAAAAAGTACGTCATCCTGATGAGTGGGGAGAGAGTATGCGCTATCGCATACCACGGATATTCGGAACTGGAAACCAAGAATCTGAGGATAGGGAAGCCATCCTGTTCACTTCACCCTGCTATGTTATTGGAAAAGAAAGTCACAGTTCTGTGAACAATCCTTACTGTTGAAGAAGTTTCTTTTAAAATTAACTCACATGAATATAGAAACACCTAAAGATCTTGAGCAGACCTTAGCTTATATCTGTGTTTTTTTCATACTTTGTTTTTTGGGGAAAGTTATAGCTCATATGTCTCACAGAATAGATTTGAATACTAGCTCCATGTGTTCCAGGCAGGTGACATGAGACTCTTTATAGAGAAGAAGCTGGGGGAAAAAATGGGAGGGGAGAGGTGGTTAAAAATGTGTAGTCGGACCTATCAGGTAAATAAAGTATGCTGATCTCAAAGGTATATGCTCCTTTCTTACAGTCTTGTTTCCACGTAGTTCCCTCTCAGTCTTTAGCCAGTTTCTTCTCTTTCTTCTCTTCCCCAGCACCCTGAGGGACAAAACCAAAACTTTAAGTTTTGACTTACTGTGCTCTCTTTTACTTTATGTTTGGGTGTGTCTGATTTTGACTGGGACTAGTCATGATAAGTAATCAGCTCGCTCACAGTCTATTCATTGGTCACTTGTTAACTGATCCTTGCAGTAACCTGAGAAATCTACTTGTCAATCATGCTCCCTCCCTCCCCTGCAGGCTCCTTGTACAAGGGAATGGGTTCTGTTAAACTAGTATTTTCTTATCTTGCCCTCCTAAAGCCTCCAGGGAAATACTTTTTGTACCATTCTTTTTTGGACAGGCAGAATGGACAGAGAGAGAGACAGAGAGAAAGGTCTTCCTTTGCCGTTGATTCACCCTCCAATGGCCGCCACGGCCATTGCGCTGTGGCCGGTGCACGGCGCTGATCCGATGGCAGGAGCCAGGTACTTCTCCTGGTCTCCCATGGGGTGCAGGGCCCAAGCACTTGGGCCATCCTCCACTGCACTCCCTGGCCACAGCAGAGAGCTGTCCTGGAAGAGGGGCAACCAGGACAGAATCCGGCGCCCCGACCGGGACTAGAACCCTGTGTGCCGGCGCTGCAAGGCAGAGGATTAGCCTAGTGAGCCACGATGCCGGCCCCATTCTTTTTTTTTTTTTTTAATTAATTTATTTATTTGAAAGGCAGAGCTACAGAGAGGCAGAGAGAGAGAGAGAGGTCTTCCATCCACTGGTTCACTCCCAGATGGCCTCAATGGCTGGAGCTGAGCTTATTCAGAGCGAGGAGCTAGGAGCTTCTTCTGGGTCTCCCATGTAGTATAGGGGCCCAAGCACTTGAGCCATCCACCACTGTTTTCCTAGGCCATAGCAGAGAGCTGGTTCAGAAGTGGAGCAGTCGGGACTCAAACTGGTACTTATATGTGATGCCAGCACTGCAGGTGGCAGCTTTACCTGCTGTGCCACAGTGCAGGCCCCTTGTACCATTATTTATACAAGCAAATGATATGGCCCTCAAATTACTTGATATTTTGATGTGGAAGTATAAAATCAGCCCTTAGCTTAGTTAATTTTTAATTAAATTTCTAACCCCTTTGAGATGATGACCTTTTATTCTAAGAATTATTATCTGTCACTGAGCACTTTGGTTAAGATGTCACTATTTTTTTTAAAGATTTATTTATTTTACTTGAAAGTCAGAGTTACACAGAGAGAGGAGGAGGAAGGAGAGGCAGAGAGAGAGAGTCTTCCATCTGCTGGTTCATTCCCCAATTGACCTCAATGGCCAGAGCTGAGCCGATCCGAACCAAGGAGCCAGGAGCTTCTTCTGGGTCTCCCACGTGGGTGCAGGGGCCCAATGGCTTGGGCCATCTTCTACTGCTTTCCCAGGCCATAGCAGAGAGCTGGATCGGAAGTGGAGCAGCCGGGTCTCGAACCAGTGCCTATATGGGATGCAGGCACTGCAGGCGGCGGCTTTAACCACTACGCCACAGCGCCGGCCCCAAGATGTGACTTTTAAGTATGGTTTTCTATCCCTTCTCTGAAAGTGTTATAGGAAAGTTTTGATAATAATGACTTCATATAGAGAATCTTATGTTTTACTGTGTGAAATTTTTATTAGTAGGAACATCTTTATCATTATCTATTAGTGTTCTACGTGAGGGGAAGGAGGTAGGAAATACTAAAATTATTGCTTTTATTAGGATAACATACATATTTATTTATTTATTTATTTATTTATTTTTGGACAGGCAGAGTGGATAGTGAGAGAGAGAGAGACAGAGAGAAAGGTCTTCCTTTGCCGTTGGTTCACCCTCCAATGGCCGCCGCAGCCGGTGCACTGCGGCTGACGCACCACGTTGATCCGATGGCAGGAGCCAGGTACTTATCCTGGTCTCCCATGGGGTGCAGGGCCCAAGTGCTTGGGCCATCCTCCACTGCACTCCCTGGCCACATTAGAGAGCTGGCCTGGAAGAGGGGCAACCGGGACAGAATCCGGTGCCCCGACTGGAACTAGAACCTGGTGTGCCGGCGCCGCAAGGCAGAGGATTAGCCTAGTGAGCCGCGGCGCCGGCCCATTTTTATTTTTTTAAAGATTTATTGATTTTATTTGAAAGGAAGAGTTAGAGGGAGAGACAGAGACAGAGAGAGAGAGAGAGAATCTTCCATCCACTGGTTCATTCCCCAGATGGCCACAACAGACAGGGATGGACCATGCCAAAGCTAGGAGCTTCATCTGGGTCTCCTCCCACATTGGTGCAGGGGCCTAAGCAATTGGGATATCTTCTGCTGCTTTCCCAGGCTCATTAGCAGGGAGCTGGATTGGAAATGGAGCAGCCAGGACTCGAACTGGCACTCATATGGGATGCCGACATTATAGGTGGGCAGCTTAACCCACTGCACCCACTATGCTGACCCCAACACACACATTTTTTAAAAAGAAAATTCTTTGTTTTCCTACCCTTTTCATTAAGATGTACCAATCAATAATCCATTTTTCATATTTAAATTTGTACTGGGAGACATTGAGATCTAAAACTGTAAATGGGAGGATTTAGAAATTGTAATTGGTTTCTAGTCAAAAGTTAAATATGTTTTATTTCAAAATGTATTGAAGAATTTTAAACATGGTAGGGGCTGGCTCCATGGCTCACTGGGTTAATCCTCCGCCTGTGGAGCTGGCATCCCATATGGGCGCCGGGTTCTAGTCCCGGCTGCTCCTCTTCCAGTCCAGCTCTCTGCTGTGGCCCGGGAAGGCAATGGA